ATCCTTTTCTTCAAATTTACGTAGTAAAGATCTAAAATTAGTCATTTTAAATCCATGTTAGGTAGTGAAGAATGTAACTTGACAACAAAAAGTAAGGAGTATGTAGGGTGTTAAATGGATAGTTGTTTCTAGAGGGCCTCAGCTCTAACCTAACTGAAGTAATGGTTATAGTAAAAGCTAAAAATACCCGCCTTAATTGACGGTATAATCCAGAAGTAAACATAGTACATTCCATCGTTTGTGAACAGCAGCTAAAGTGACTGTGTGCCTGCTCAGCACTTTGTGAACAGCGTAACTTCATGTTTCTCTGTGTTAGCAATTATGTGGAGTAGGTGCAACTATATTCTGTAGAAAAAAAGACTTGAGATTTTCAGGTTCTCAGCAGAATTGCAACACTGAATATTTTTTTAAGTATATACTTCTTGTTTTAAGGCATAGCTGTTTCTTCTTTGTTAATTTTGCATCTTAAGTGGGGGCATTCAGTAATCAACATCAAAGTGTACAGTAGCTATTGGAAACCATGTGTCTTTGAGACTATTAATGATGTTTTCTATAGGAAAGCATTTTATTTTTTTTGTTGTAGAGCTGCTATCTGTAGTAGTATTATTGCGTGAATACTGTGGAATATATTTCAGTGTGAATGCTTTATGGACTTTGAGCTATGAAACTAGTGTTTAAAAAGCATGTTTGATGTGATTAGGCAGTGCATTTAAGCTTTTTCTCCTGAAATAATTTGATCATGTTTATAAAGCAGGACTTAAAGTCACACGGCTTCAAGTTTTTCCCAGGCTTTTTTTTTTTTTTTTAGCTTTTTCCTTTTAGAAATGTCATTTTAAAATATATTCTAGTGAAAGGTCAGTGTTGAGCTATAATTCCTGTTCCAGGAGCAAGTCCTCTTTTCTACATTAACTTCCCATCCATTTCACTTAGAGTCATGGGTAGTCCCACCTCTCCTTTAGCAGGCTGGTGGAAACCACCTGGCAAGCTGAGTCCTGCCTGTGGGACGTGAGCTTCTGTTGGGCTGTAGGAATGTGCCCTTGCCCTTTGGGCTGCTTTTATCTTTGTGTGATCATCAGATGTTGGAGCAGGTATCTGAGAGTGTTCACAGGTGGCTGCTAAGGAAGTGAGTAAGGACAGTGAAGCCTGTGTATGAAGGAAGGAAAAAGGTGTTATTCCCAGTTTGATAGTCTAACTTACTGGTGAGGATGTGACTTCCTTTTACTGTCTTGTGGACTCGGTGTGTGGAGTAAATAGTGGAGTAAATAGAGCAGTTGCCAGGCAATTGCAATTTCAAGTGAAAAATGCATGGTGTTGCCTGTGTCCCCAGGTACTTCATCCTGCATCCTTTATGTGTAGGTGCCACCAACTGTTTTGGTCAACTGAAAAAGACAAATATTTAAAATATTAGTAGATAACCCAAAGTCTTTTCACACCTACAAAGTGTTACCAACCGTAATTAGAGTACAGGATTTAGTGTATACTTGTGATCCTGTGATCGTGGTTGTGTACAGGTTGGTCTAATGGCAAATGATTTTCATTTTCAAAATGATCAAAGTTATCTTTGCAAAATAAACAATTTGGAGAGTCTTTTACTGTTCCTATCTTTACCAATGATGTGATGAAGGTAAAGGAGTCCTTTCCTCCTGCATGATCAGTGTGAGAGTGCTTAAAAACATCAGTTGCCTTTGGCACTTTGGAAGTTTTGGGTGGTGGTGGTGATATACCTGGCTCACCTCTCACTTCATCTGTTGTTTTCCATGAACCAACATAGACCATAGGGACAAATTTGCAGAGGAAGGTTGTTGTATTACTTGTTTAAAGAGGTGATAGGCATGTCACATTTAGATGTATTTTGTATTTGGTTTTCAATTTTAAACCAGCGATGATTCTTTGGCAGTATTTTTCGTGTCTTTACACAGTAAATTAGAATTTGAAAACCATCTTTGAAAGAGTAATAATTATTGCCTACATTTAAGTATGCCAAATATTGTACCACTGTGTTTTGGCCTCTGGAGTTTATGGCCGAGGTGAAAGGCGTGCCTCATTGTGAAAACAGTCTTCAAGCGGCAGCATCTAATTCTTGTCTGTGTTGACAAGCACTACAAAAGATTCATTCATACTTGGCATTCTTTTGCACCCACGGCATTTCCTCTGATCAAAATGCCAAATGACTCTAAAATGTGAATCTATCATGTGGTCTTCAAAGACAAAACCAAGTTAAAAACGTGAAAACTTCCATATATGGACAGAAGATACCAATCTCTGCCTTTCCTCTGCAAAAGCAGCAATAAATCTGCAAGTTAGTGTATCTTCCATGCTTCTTGTGGTAGAACATTTGTTACCTCTTTAGTTTGCTTGCTTGTATTATAAAACCACAGAGGACAGGGTCACTGGCAGTGGTAATGACAGGACTTCTA